TTTTTTTTTTTTTTTTGGCTTATAGGATTAAATCCACACTCCTTAGCATAGACTTAGAAAGCCCTTTATGATTTGGTTTGTCTTCTTCTCCAACCTTATTCCCTTCCCTTTATAGGCATCCTATTCTCTAGCCCATGAAGAACTATTTGCAGTTCCCCTTGTGGGCTCTTTTTCTGCCTGTATTCATTGGTAAATGCTATTTCCTCTACCTAAAGTATTCCTCTTACTCCAATTTGCCTAGAATTCTTCTTATTTTTCACTTAACTTCCCTTAACTTCAGCTATGCAAAGTAACCAGTCTACAAACTGTTAGAAGAAGAGGAATTTGCCCTAGAATGTAAATAAGCTATGGCAGTAAGCTACTGTTTAGTTTAGCTGACACTTTTTTCTTAGCAAAGCTTTCTTGATGAAGGAAATATTTACATGATTTACATTGGCTGCAAGCTCCTTATTCCATCATGAATTGGGAACAAGTGGTTCACAGACTGGCACCATACATTTATTAGTACTAGCTAAAACGAAACCTCTGACGAAACCAAGAAGTTAATTACTCTGTCTTGTGATCTCACAACACCCCTTTTATTTCTCAGTCTATTGTAGAATTTATCGCATTGTATTTTAGGCACTTAATTCTGGATCTTTTGTTAAACTAGAAACTCTTTGAGTCTAGAAATTGTATCTTGTTCTTTGTGCTATAGTAGATAGGTAAGTTTTGTGCTATAATAGATAGGTTCTTTGTGCTATAGTAGATAGGTAAGTTTTGGGGCACATAATAGGTTCTGAATCAATATTTGTTGAATAAATGAGTGGAAACATGATAAATAAATGAGGCTTCCAATAAACAACCTATAGGTACTTCGTCATGCTCAGTCAAGGTTGCCATAAACTCTTTAAAATGTTCTAAAGATTTGCCTTTAAACTTTAGTACTTTTAAATATATTTTCTTTTTTATTGTAGAATCTTTAATTCTTTCCTTATTGTTAAAGTCCAGTTTGTTATCTAAACCTTTATATTTTCTAAAATGTCTTTAATCCCTTATTTCCATTCTCATTGTCTCTTAACCTAACATAAACTCATCATGTTGTATCTGAACTATTAACAGTAGCTTCCTTATTGGTTCATCTTCTCTTGAATCTGCTTTCTTCTCTGGAATTATTTTTATGAAATGCACATTTCATCATGAGACTTTCCAGAGTACTTAACATAGAATAAAAGAAGCTTCAAAATCTTACCCTAACATTTTATTCTTATCATTTGATACTCTTTACCATGTAACCTCTACTATCCAGGAAATAAAAATAGAGGAGTAAAGGAGGAAAACAAGTAGTCCAAACTTTCCACCTTTAAAATCTGTCCACATTCTAAAAATATTTCAGTCACATAGAAAATACAATGATCACTGTTCTCTCTGTCTCTAAAATGGGACAGTTAAAAGTCAATAACCATTTGCAACAACATGGATGGACCTAGAGGTTATTATGCTGAGTGAAATAAGTCAGACAGAGAAAGATAAATACCATATGATTTCACTTATATGTGGAATCTAAGGAACAAAATGAACAAACTAATCAAAAACAGACTCACAAATATAGTGGACAATTTGGTGACAGACAGAGGGGAAGAGGGTTGGGAGGCTGAGATAATGGGGTGAAGGATTAAAGAAGTACAAACTAGTAGTTGATAGTTAGGTATGAGGATGGAGAGCACAGCATAGAGAATGCAGTTAGCATTAATATGTTGGCTAACTGGAGGGCCAGAGGAGGGAGGGAGCAACTGGGGGACCGTTTTATGAGTTATATAGATGCCTAATCAATGTACTGTATACTCGAAACTAATTTAAATAAATAAATTTATTTAATTAAAAAAAATAAAATTTAACACCTAAGTCCTTATAAAGGCCTTAGTAACTAATAAAACTTTAATAAATACAGTGATCCTCCCTTATCTATGGGGAATATGTTCCAGGACCCCCAGTGGATGCCTGAAGCCACAGATAATACAAAACTCTGTAAATGTTATGTTTTTTTCCTGTACATGCACACCTATGCTAAAGTTTAATTTATAAATTAGGCAATTTCACAAATAGAATATTTGTTCTTACCATTGATTTTAGCAACCTCGGCATATAATTTTTTTTCTTATTAAGTGGAGAACTTTTACCTTTTCACTTCAAGGAAGCATATTTGAATTGCCAGCATTAGTACTTTTGTGCTTTGGGGCCATAACTAAGTAAAATAAGGCTTACTCAAACACAAGCACACAATACCATGACAATAGATCTGATAACCAAGATGGTTACTAAATGACAAATAGGCAGGTAGTATATACAGAGTGAATATGCTGGACAAAGGGATGATTCGTGTCTTAGACAGGATGGAACAGAATGGCTCAAGATTTCATCATGCTACTCAGAATGGTATGCAATTTAAAACTTTAAATTATATCTAGAATTCTCCATTTAATATTTTTGGATCATGTTTGACTGTGGGTGAGACTGCAAAACCATTGATAAGGGGGCTACTGTACTCATAACTGATGAAGAACCTAAGAAAAAGAGAATCAGGCTCTTAATATATATTTTTGTCATTAACTGCAGTTTTTTCTTTTTTCTCAATAGGGATGAACCCATTGCTTTGTGCTCCCATTCAGACTCAAATGCAACAGAGAGAGGTATGAGCTTATGCAATTGGCTTCATATTTTAATCTCCCTTGGCAGTTAAACTTTTTAAAAACTCAAAATTTAATAGTAATGGCACAATTTAGGGATTACTTACCAAAATGGACCCATAGACTGGATATACTTCCTACCCTTTGACTTAACTGAAGATAGTTTAATCACTGTCAGTTTACATAACAGGGAAATATATTAGTTATATTAGGACTTCTCAAACTTTAATGGACATATGCATTATCTCAGGATTTTGTTAGAATATAGATTCTTATCCATTAGATCTGATGTGGCCCCTGAGATTCTATACAATCTCTGGGGTGATACTAGTGCATTGTATGGTCTTTAGAAACAAGGAGTTTGACTATGTCCTTACAAATAAAACCACTGCATTAAAATTCAATGAGAACCCAACTCCCAGGAGTACAGAGGGTGCTATAAATTAGCCATCATGTACGTATTCCTGTCCAAGTCTTTTTTATTTAGAATGTGAATAACCTAGTACAGTAATTAGAATTTTCATTATAGTTGCATTTGGTATTATCAGTCCTTTTTATTTTTTAGTCATTCTAATGGGGTATAATTAACCTTGAACTTTTAATTTGTACCAAAATACTAAAAGTATTTAAAAGATATTAGAAAAAAATTTAATAACAAATGACATACAACACACCACACCATTTTCAAACAAAGCAATTTATCATGAAACCATCATTAATGATTACTTATATCGTACTCTCTATATATTCCATGTTGTAAAATACCTTTTTAAAAGTTTGCATTTTATTTGATTTTTGAATACTTTGCTTTCATTATAGATTTCAGTTATAGAATACAACCGTGAAAAGAAACATGCAAATGACCAGACAGTCATCTTTTCAGATGAAAACCAAATGGACCTGACAACAAGTCACACTGTGATGATTGCTAAAGGCCTTGTCGATTATACCAAAAGTGAAAAGTCCTCCAAGATAGATACCACATCGTTTCTGGCTAACTTAAAGCTCCACACTGAGAATTCAAGAATGAAAAAAGAATTAAATTTTTCCATGGATCAAAACACTTCTTCAGGAAAGAAAATAAATTTTAATGACTTCATAAAAAGATTGAAAACAGGAAAATCTAATGCTTCCTCTACAGGACCTGATAAAGAAAATTCTGAGATATCTATTCATTCTAAAGAGTCAAATAGGGCCTCTTCTGTACATCAAATGCATGTATCTCTTAATGTAGATGAAAATAGCAGTAATATGACTAGACTCTTTAGAGAACAAGATGATGGGATGAATTTCACACAGTGTCATACAGCCAATATTCAGAGTTTGATTCCCACATCCAGTGAAGCCAACTTAAGGGAATTTAAAAGTGATGATATTACAGTTTATGGCAGTGACTTGATGGACTTGACAATGAACCACACTATACAAAATTTACCCTCAGCAGGTAATTTATCTGAAATAGAAAATCAAACTCAGACTGTTATGATGAATGTTACAACAGGTTACGGAACTAAAGCTCCAGGAGAGAAAACAGTCTTTAAGAATAAACCAAATGCTGCTTTTCGAGACCCTTCCTTAAATCCCAAAGGTGAAATACATATTACCAGAAGTATTACAGGGACAGAAACTCACACAGTCACACAGACTTCTAAGCAAGATGTCAGAACTTTGGCCATGATCCCAGAATCTATATGTTCCAGTCCAGTTATTCAAGATTATAAGACCTTTTCTTATTCTAATTGTAATGATGCCATGGAACTTACCAAGTGTCTTTCAAGTATGAGAGAGGAAAAAAATTTGCTAAAGCATGAGAGTATTTATTCCAAAATGTATCCCAATCCAGATGCCACCTCTCTTCTCATAGAGAAAACTATTTATTCAGGAGAGGATAGCATGGACATTACCAAGAGTCACACAGTTGCAATAGATAATCAAATTTTTGAACAAGATCAGACACATGTACAGATAGCAGCCATACCTGAAACATCTGAAAAAGAAATGATCCCAAATCGCATAACCATGTCAAAAGATGAGGAATTGAATATAAATTGTAGCTCAGTTCCTCATATGTCTAAGGAAAGATTACAACAAGGCCTGGTAAATCCTTTATCTGTTTCATTGACTGACAAAAACACTGTAACCTTCACAGGTGAAGATAAGAATTTGACAAAAAGTCACACAACTAACTTAAGACGTCAAGCTCCTCGTGCATTTTATAACCTAGTATCTGGGAATACTGGTAAATCTCACCCTGACAGCAAAAGTCCTTTAGATGAATGGGAAGAAATGACCAAAAGTCATATTGAACCATCCCAGCAACCAAACATAATGTCTAAAAACATTCTAACTGATACCTGCAGCAAAGAAAAAGATCAAGTTTTGAAGATTTCACCCTATCTTGATAAAGATTCTCCTCAGTCAGCCAATATTAACCCAGACAAGGCAACAAGCTGTAATATAGCATACTCTGGTAGAGATCCTAATAAACAAGCAGCACCGGGAAATAATAGAAATGCAGTTTCATGTGAGCAGTCTTTGTTTTCTACCATAAAACTATATTCATTAGAAGGACAGTCTGCCATGGAAAATCATAATACTGCTATTAACAGTCATACAGTAAAATCTATACCAGGCCAGAATTCTAAACTGCCTGAGCCACTGAGGAAAGGCTTAGGCAATCCTACCATGGACTGTTCTCATGACAAAATAATTGTTTGTTCAGAAGAGGAACAAAATATGGATCTAACCAAGAGTCACACTGTTGTCATTGGATTTGGTCCTTCTGAACTACAAGAACTTGGTAAGACTAATTTAGAAAATACTAACAGCCAACTAACAGTAAATAGACAAGTAAGTATAAAAGTTGAAAAATGTAATAAAACTCCTATAGAAAAAACTGGAGTATTTATTTCTAATGATATGGATGTGTTGGAGGACAGATGTGTACAGAAACCTGGATTTCTGAATGAAAAGCAAGATGTCAAAATCTGTGGAAGGAAAAGTGTTGGCAGACTAAAACTTGATAGGACTATTATATTTTTAGAAGGTGGTGAGAATGATATGGATATCACCAAGAGTTATACAGTGGAAATAAATCACAGACCTTCATTAGATGAACATGATTCCCATTTGGTGCCTTTAGCAGGAACTTCTAAAACTGTTTCGTATTCATGTGGGCAAGATGACATGGATGTCACTCGAAGTCACACAACTGCCATAGAATGTGAAACTGTCTCACCAGATAAAATAACTACTAAGCCTCTGGACAAAACTGTAATGTTTATGGATAATCATGATGAACTTGAAATGACAAAGTCCCACACTGTTTTCATTGACTACCAAGCAAAGGAAAGAACTGTGCTTTCAGACAGACCTGACTTCGAATTATCTGAAAGGAAAAGCCTAGGAAAATTAAAAGTGACTTCTGCTGAGGACAGTGTGTTTCTTCCAGAGAGAGGTGAAAGTGACAATTCAGCAAAAATCTGCCAGCTAACAGTACTGAGGGAACGGTCTAATAGTGGTCCTATAGGGGAAGCTGTAGCGTTTATGGCTGATGATAACATGGATGTGTCTAAATCAACCATTTGGAAAAGTGACAAAGATGTACAAAAGCCTAGATTTCTGAATGAACCTCTGTCAGGCAAAAGTCAAAGAAGAAAAAGCCTTAGATTCAAAAATGACAAGCCTATTGCATTTTCAAGTAACGATCAAAATGATATGGATATCATCCAGAGTTGTACAGTGGAAATAAGTAACAAAAATACCCTGGAAGATACAGAGGACTCCCATTTGATGCCTTCGTCAGGAAATTCTAAAACTGTTTTATACACATGTGGACAGGATGACATGGAGATCACTAGAAGTCACACTACTGCCTTAGAATGTAAAACTATCTCACCAGATAAAATAACCACTAGGTCTAGGGACAATACTGTAATGTTTGTAGGTAATCACAGTGATTTGGAAGTCACCAAGTCCCATACTGTTTTCATTGATTGTCAAGCTGTGGAAAAGATACTTCAAGAGTGCCCTAAATTTGGAATAGCAAGAGGAAAAACCTTGGGTATTTCTTTTACTAAGGATGGTAGCTCTGTTCGAGAAAACACTGAAAAAAAATCACAAGTTGTAGAAAACAAAGTTACTCTTCACACTGAGCAAAAGCATCATGTGATACCCTATTCTACTAATACTTTGTCTACGGGTCAAGGTGAGATAGAAATCAAATTCCATAGCACTGCTGTGGATGAAAAGGTCATAGGGAAAGTTACAGTGGAAAAAGCCAAACTTGAACACTGCCACTTAAATAGCACAGATAAAAATATTGATTTTACCAACAGTCATGCAACTGCTGTTTGTGGATCCAGTGATAATTTACTAAATGTTATTTCCTATTTCGATAATTTGGACGGAAATGCCATGTCCTTATGTGATGAAGATGAGAAAGCAAATAATTGCCCAGTGCAAAATGACCTTGATTATGCAAACGATTTAGCCAGTGAATATTACTTGAAACCTGAGGGACCGCCGTTCTCTGCCCCTAGTTTTCTGTTAGATAAGGAAAAAATTATTCAAACCAATACCACAGGACAGTTAGCATGTATTGGAACAGTGCTTAAAGGTCAAAATCTGATTAAGGAGCCCCCAAATCTGTTAGCTAGTCAAACTTTAGTACATGGTCAAGATCTCAGGGACATGACAAGACTTGATGCAAAGCAAGTATCTTTTAAGCTTCCTGCGGATCAAATGGAGGACTTTGTTGATAATGCAGAACATAGTTTAAAGCAGACCTTTGTTGATGATTGTGTTGCTTCTCAGCCTCGTTTCTCAGCCCATCTACCTCTATTACCTCAACAAGGACATAATATTGTTAATAAAGATGAAACAATATTATCTAATGTTAGAAGAAATAAGAATTTAAATATTGTTATAGGAAATTCCTCTGCACCCACATGTGAAAAGAAATCCAAAATGCTCAATGAGAAACAGTTTACTATAGCCTTTGAAAAGGAACTGAGGAAAAATATTCAAACAGCTAAATGTAATACAGCTATAGATTTCCACAGTAACTCAGATTTGACTAAGCAAGTTATTCAGACTCATGCCAGTCCTAGAGAAGCATCAGATTCTGTGATTCCATCTAATGCTGCAAGTTTTAGTAGTGGCAAATCAAATCCGAATAATACGAATGGGAAAACTGAAAAATTTTTAGATTTCCAAACTGTTCATTTACCACCTTCCCCAGAACCATTACTCGAATTAGTAAATAAGTCAGACAATGATAGGAGTATAGTGCAAGCTACAGAAATACATAAAATTAACATAGTGTCCAGCAATGTTGAAGATGATAGAGATGAAGAAAAAATTTCTCATAATGGAGCTGAAATAAACTCTGTACCATTAGTGTCAGATAAAGTGAGGAGATGTTCTTTAGGAATATTTTTGCCCAGATTGCCAAACAAGAGAAATTGTAGTGTCACTGGTATTGAAGACCTGGAGCAGATTCCGTCAGATACAACTGATTTAAATCACTTGGAAACTCAGCCAATCTCCAGTAAGGATTCTGTCGTTGGATTTGTTGCAGCTGAACTAAACATAAGTCCATCTCAATATATAAATGAGGAAAATCTTCCTGTGTATCCTGGTGAGATAAATTCCTCAGACTCTGTTAGCATAGAAACTGAGGAGAAGGCTTTGATCGAGACATACCAAAAAGAGATTTCACCATCTGAAAATAAAATGGAAGAAACCTGCAGTAGCCAAAAAAGAACCTGGGTACAAGAAGATGATGATATTCAGAATGAGAGAAAAATCAGAAAAAGTGAGATTAGGTTTAGTGATACTGCACAAGATCAAGAGGTGAGCTCTTTCTTAAAGTAAGAAATGTTCTTGATTTTTAAAAAACTTATGAGTATTCTTGAATTTTAAGTTTAATCTTGCATAAGCAGGAATTCATTATTCCCAATGATAGGGCTGAAGAAATATTTCTATGTAGACTCTTAAGGAATTAATTCACAGTTTGACTTAAAAACAATTTGAAGTGGCAAATAGTCACACAGAAAATGAAATAGTAGTACAAAAAGTGTTGAAATTGTGTAATTCTGTATCTGTCACCTCTAGTGATTTGTCATTGTGGTTTTGCATATGAAAATCACTAGGTAGAGTATATATGGTTTGAAAAGTCATCTTCAGTGTTATAAATATTCGGAAGGTAAAAGCCTTTTTATTATGCAAACCACATAAACCTTGACTAAATTCTCTTGGCTAATGAGGATGTGTAGAAGCTGACAGTTCATTCCTTAGTGGATGGGAAAATACCTAGGTTAAGCCCAGTATCTCAAAGTGAAGTAAGTGAGATTTTGTATTTATGAAAGTGGTCATAGATATTAAAGTTGAGGGAACACTGATTTGGGTAACTTGCGAGAATAAACCAGTCACTTAAACTGAGTTTTATAGATGGAGAAATAAAGACTAGAAAGTATCAGAGGTTCATAGAAAACAAAATTTCAGCTATTAAATATTTAAGTTTAGATTATTTTGGTGGTTCTATAAGCTGAGGTTCTGAGGAAATGGTTTGTTTATGAAGCTTTGAGAAAGTAGTTAACAGTAATATAAAAAAATAACAATAGATTCTATGAAAATTACTAATATTTTGTTGAATGAGTATTTATTGAGTATCTGCTATGTCCTAGGTACTGTTTAGGTGCCTCAGTGGGAATTTATAGACCAAAATCTGCTCTCATGGAGCTTACAATCTAGCATTTAGACAAATAATATAATGTTTTCAAAAACATGGAAGTAGGTAGATGAAAATGGCATTTAAGGCTAAAGCTGTAAAGGCAAATGGTTAAAATGATAAAAGCAGTAGTACCACATGACTCATTTGACCTCAGCTAAGAGTTTTGATCACTAGGAAAAGGAAGTACTAAAGCCTGGAAATAATTTTCTTTGTTCTGCTCTAGCAAGGACCATCACATACAGCCAATATTCTATTCTGGTTTTCTGCGGTGTGGTAGCCTTGACTGTGGTGGCTAGTAGAATAATTATTGGATAGGTCAACATTTGATAGCTCATAGGATCTGACTATAACTTAGATACATCTGAAAAATAATTTGCTTATACAGTATAATGCACAGTTATTTCTATATATTTTTAAATAAAATTACTTTAAAGACTCAGTTGCCTGTTACTTATTCTAATTCTTTGCTAAGATATTTCATATGGATTATAGATAAATTTTATGTTAGTAGTATTTCTATTAGTATTCAACAAACATTTAGTCATTATAAGTACATAGTGTCATAACTTTATCCTGATGATGTTCCTTAATCGATAATTTCAGATTTTTGATCACCATGCTGAAGGGGATATATATAAAAATGTTAACAGTGTATTGATAAAAAGCCCAAGCAGGACCCCATCTAGTTGCAGCAGTTCTCTGGATTCGATCAAAGCTGATGGGACTTCTCTGGACTTCAGCAGTAAGATCTTCATGAAAGCTAATTAATAGAAGTCATCTGTTTACTTGAATAATAATAAATGTATTCAATTCAGGAGATGTTTGAAATTTGTAGAAGCTTTTGAGGAGTTATAAATAGTTGATAAGTAAAATATTATTTAGTTTATTTTTAATTCATAGTTATTTTAATAAAACCAGAAGTGATATACAAGGGGGTAGAGTGATTTCCTTAAGAAGCTTATAATCAGTAGAGAAACATTGAATGGAACCTTAAAACTATAACATACTTTGCCCTATAAATGACTGTCTTCCCAAAAAGATCCTAATGGGTAGCTTTAGGAGCATGAACCACACTAAAATTTATAGTATAACATGTTAATCACCTGAATTTGCCTTATTTCTATTCTAGCACACCGCAGTAGTCAAATGGAATCACAATTTTTCACAGACAGTATTTGTGAAGAGAGCTTGAAGGAGGTATTTCCCATTTCTAATGTACTATTTCCTTGTTTTGTTTTTTCTTTTTTTAATTTTTAAAAATTATGAAATACTTTAAATATACAGAAGACAAATTTTGTTTTCTTTGTTAAGGACCTGACCTGGCAGTTAATTATATGGAGTAGAAATCACGATTAGAAGACCTATGTTTTGTTTTTTTCCCTCAATTTTACTGTTAACGTAATACCCTTAGGAAATAAATATTAGATAAAATCTACTCATGTATAGCATACAGATATCTGGATAGTATTTCCACAAATTTGTGCAAAGTACTTTAAGCTATTTAGAAACAAACAAGGTAGTTATAATTAAAATGAGTTCACTTTAAATGGTCATGCAGACTTTTTTTTTTCTTTTCTCAGAAACTCAAAGATGGAAGAATAACAGTAAAGGAGTTCTTTATACTTCTTCAGGTCCATATTTTGATACAGAAACCCCGACAGAGTACTCTCTCAGCCAAAGTAAGTACAATTTCTTGACAAAATAGTTGCCTCAGTTAAAATATATTGTGCTTACTAAACTATAGAGCAAACATTCAGAAACAAAAAAATTAAGGAAGCAAATTTCTTTATAGAAAGTTTTCCTAATATGTACATTTGTAGTTAGCATAAAAATTGATATTTTTTTATATCATGGATTTTGATAAGGTGAATTTTAATTTTTTTCTTATTCCTTTGCATCTATTTTGTTTTTGATGCTTTTTACTAAACATATGCTCTTATCTACTATTATAAAAATTCAAATATAGCAGTTTTTAATAAATATTTTTTGAAATCAAAAATATGTAAGATCATAGACTATTTGAATAATACGGTCAATAAACTCAATTTAAAAGATTAATAGAAAAATTACAACACTTTCAGAGGAATATATTTTTTCTCTTAAATATGTCGAACAGTTACAAAAATTAATGTTTGCCCTTGGCCACAAAGAAAACATTAACAAATTGAAAAATATGGCAACTTTATGGGCCACATCATATGATCTTAACCCAATAAAATTAGAAATAATGAAAGGACTAAAACATTCTTAGCTTCTAGGAAATTAAGAAACATACTTCTAGATAACTCTTATAACAGAAAATAAATAAAAACTATTTAAAAAGCAAAATAAAGGAGAACAGTTAATAGCAAATCTATGGGACATATAGCAAAATATATATTC